ACCCGGGCTCTGCACCTTGGCTCTGATACCACTTGTTAGGCCCCCACTCCAAACAAATGGAAAGAAAAGGAAAAAAAGAGCACACAATTTTTAACGTGGTTCGGCACCTCAAGACCTACTCCACGACCCCCTCTGGGATAAAATCTCACTAGTAATTTTGCACGGAAAAATTACAAACCCTCTCCAATATTTGACACTCACAACCTAAAATCTAATACACAATTATATAGATTGAAGGATTGTGTTGTGTGATGAAAGCCTATATCCCCTCTTTATTTATAGGCTTCAATCCCTCCTCAATTTTCCTATCCCACCGTTGTGGGACTTTGAAGTAACACTCAACAATAGAGAGTCTTTTCCGCTAGAGGGCTATCATTATTAATAAGTGGCTCATCTTTCCTTATAGCATAATCAATGTCCATGCACCCCAATTGAAGGAGAACTCTTTCTTTCCAAATCTTATAATTCTCACCAGTCAATTCAGGGATTTCATTTTTAACATTAGAGAAATTAAGTGATTGTGAAACTCCAAGATTGTCCAAATAATATAACATAAATATTGAGGCATATAAATCATAATGTATGTTTACCAATGTAAAACATATCATGAATCTAAAGACATAAAAATTGTCTGTGGGCTAAATTCTTACTTCGGTTAGATTCATGTGCCATATATGATAAAACTATCATGCATTTCTCCTAATTCCTGTGGGTAGATAAGGAAATCAAATGATATTTTATCCTGATTTGTTATTTTAAAACAGTGGAATTCCTGTGGCAATACTTATTTGTTGGGATATTTGATTGGCTTGGTGCATGTCATCAAATCAAAGTGAATTTTACTTTTTTGACTCCTCTTAAACCATGGATGCTTACGAGGTATATTTTTAGTTATAAAAGCAAGGCAACATGTGGGTGGGTTTGAGACACACTAAGAGAGTTGAGGGTTAAGAGAAAGGTGCTACACAAGATATCACCAGATTTGTGTGAGTGAGTGTAGGGAGTAACTGGTTTTAGTTACTCGAAAAAATACATCCGGGTGTAGGGTGTGAAAAGTCTGTTTATAAGTGTCTGGTATTTAGTGCTTGTAATCAGGGGAGAGTTTTTTGTGTATCGTTCTGAAAGAGTGAAGATATATTTTCTCTCATATTTTCTTCTTGTGTAGTGTGTTATTTATTTTTCACGTTCTTGATATTTTAATAGTTTTACGCGCTTAAAATCCCAACATTATTATATCAAAACAACAAAACACAACTATGACAGATGTATCATTTTATGAATGTTTTCAATTAGGGTTGCTGTGGCTAAGTCCTAATTGAATAGTACTGTATCTAAATTGAATTCATCTTTATGACATTAAACTTTGAATCTGGAATAACTGCACGAAGTGTAATTGAAGTCACTACTCCGTAATTCATATGCTGTATGTTTTTTGTTAAACCACACATGGTACAACAATAAGCAGATATTATTAATATGAGATTAAATATGCATATAAACATGAGTGTGTGCAGTTCGGCTATAAAATTTTAATATGCAAAATTTGCATGACTATCTTGGATTGCACTTTATGCGTGGCTAATGGATAATAAAAAATTCCATTTATGCATGACTTAGCCATTTTGATTTTTGAAGAAGAAAAGAAAAAATGGTAACTGCCCCTGATTCCTTTCATATTCGAAAAGACAACAAGACAAAGGCAAAAACTTGGCTCCGATACCAAATCTAAGAAAATTTTAATGAAAATCATTTGATCGATATAAAATATGCAGCGGAAATTGAATCAAAATACCTCCAGTCATTGTTGCCTTTTTTTAACTGCCGGATAGAGATCTCGTCGTGAAGATGAATCCTTCTTCTTTATGAACGATCACCGGATCTTCCACACACTCAGACACCACATAGAGATGGATTATGTTTCTTGGTGTGTTGTGCATGGGGACCGAATGAATATGGATGAAGTCCTTATATACTTGCATCCATGAAACAAGGTGATGGTTACCAAAAGACACTTGTTTCCATCAAACAAGGCAATGGTTACCAAAGTCCATGATGGGTTAAAAAATTTAAAATTCATTAACTGCTAATAATTATATGGATCAAAGAAACGGCCAACAGAACCAAGTCCAATTATCCCCGTCCTCTACATCAACCACTGAATAAGCTATGGGCAAAATCTCGTGGTTGGCTGTCATTGCCACAACCCATATTAAGACCCCCTTATACTTACCGTACAAGTGAGTGCCATCAACAAATACCATTGGGAAGCCAGACTTTAAACCTAAATATAGCTGCCCAGAATGACCAAAACACATACATGAACTCAAACATGTCTTGAGAGATAGTGGGTCGCATTTGTAGTTCCACAACCGTGCCAGGATTAGAATGCATTATAGCTCCAAGTAGTGGAAGTACCTTGCTATAAGAGCTCTCCCATGACCCATAAAGCCGTTAAATTGCATTTAACCTTGCTCACCATGCCTTTTTGTAGGATACAGTTACTCGGAACAAATATGTTAATCATATTTAATATTATTGTATTATTATTATTCTAAACTATAACTATATTTGTATAGGTTTCCTTGTGTGTCTCTCCTACCTTATTTGGTACTGAAACCCTTGTATTTATACATGTATTCACAACAGTATTCATCAAGGAAATACACTTTTCTTCATGGTATCAGAGCCTCACAAAAACATTAGCCCCTCTCACCTGTCTTCTTCCTCCATCGGCCTCCCTCTCTCGCCGAAGAAGAAAAAAAATCACCGCCGACTTGCATAATGATTTAGCATTTGAACTTAAGTAATCAATGGATGTATCTCTATCTTATGCTCAAATACTGCACTCGACATTGATGTTTTTAAAGATTTTTTTGAATTGGCATCATTAGCTTTAGCATGTCCCTTTTTTGCAACCTCGTGTATTGACTTTGCGACATTTTTCTATTTGCTTACTTCATTTCTTTGAATATGCATGGGGACTAATAAGAATTGTGAAATTTGCACTAAATAGGACTAAAACATAAGTCATTTCCCAATGTAGGACTTACTTTTTTATTCTCTAAATAGGACTTAATAATGACTAGGGAGAAGAATAATGTCCAAGTGATGCTGGACATTTAGTTGAATAATGACTAATAGTTAATGACCAATGATCTTACATTGGGAAATAAAAACATATGGTCCTATTTTGAGAAAGTCATTATGTTTTAGTCCTATTTATGTAAACGGTAAGTCTAAAATGACACGAGTGCTACTGATGTCATTTGCTTACACCAGTTTGTTTGGGGTACCTACGGTGCTCCGTTTGTAAAAACGACGATTCCTATGATACGAACGGTATCAACGAGGGAACCTTCGAGTGCTCCCAAACTCCAATTTGATGGAACTAAGAGGTAGAGAGAAGGGAAGAGAGAAGTTGGGGAAGAGAGGGGGAAGGCCGAACGGCTGAGGTAGGGGAATAATTAGGGTTTTATTTGCTTAATGATTATAGAGAGGTACACCTCTATTTATAGGTTTCAAAGAATCCCCTTCCTATTAAACTACGTTTTCTATCCTGACGGTTCAAGAAAAGCGACGAGGTAAAGAACCGTAAAGAAACCCTCGAAGGAGCTTATAGATCGCTCACCTAGTAAAAAGCTACGGTACATTTAGAAATAAAAGAGGATAATTAAAATAATTAATGTCTAATGAATTCTTGCTGCCATCCGGGTGGTCGTCTAACCCGACCACTTCGCCGGACCTGCGTCTCTGCACGTTGCTCTGAATCCATAACACTCTCCCGCCCTTCAGGAATCACCTTGTCCTCAAGGTGAAGGTTGGGAAAATTCCGCTGCATGGTCTCGACCGGTTCCCAAGATGCATCTGCCACCCCTCCGTCACTCCACTGGACGAGGTATGGATCTACCGGACTCCCATGCTGCAAAACCCGACGCTGATCAAGTATCTTGACAGGTAGGGATGGTGCCTGACCATCCACCAACTCGGCAGGTAAGGGCAAAAGTTGCTCACTGTCACCTCCATCCCGAAAATGACGCAAAACGGAAACATGGAAAACAGGATGGATGCGAGATGTGTCCGGCAATTTTAAGCGATACGCTACAGGCCCAATCCGTTCCAATACCTCAAATGGCCCGAAGAAACGCAAGGACAGCTTATGCGAAGAGCGACGGACAACGGAATGTTGTCTGTAAGGCTGCAATTTTAACAACACCAATTCCCCCACGTTGAATTCCACGTCACGTCGCTTCCCGTCGGCCATCTGCTTCATTCGGTTCTGCGCCAACTCCAAGTTAAGCCGTAGTCGTCGTAAGAGGGCGTCCCGTTCTCCCAAGATGTCATCCACCGCCTGAACACGAGCAGAGCCACGAGAATAGGGGATCAGTTCCGGCGGCGGACGACCATACACTGCTTGAAAAGGTGTCATCTGCAGCCCGTGGTGGTAACTAGTTTTGACGGAGTACTTGGCCCACGGTAACAAGACGGTCCAGCGCTTGGGTTTGGCATGGGCAAAGGCCCGCAAATATTGCTCCAGGGTGCGGTTGAGAACCTCTGTTTGGCCATCCGTCTGAGGGTGAAAAGCCGTACTGTGCTTGAGTGTAGTCCCGCTCAAGGCGTGCAACTCCTTCCAGAAGGCGCTAGTAAAGATCTTGTCGCGGTCGGAGACTATTGTCTTGGGAATGCCGTGCAATTTAACAACCATATCCGTAAACAAGAAAGCCGTACGGTGGGCGTCGAAATCCCCTGGTAGCGCCCCGAAGTGGGCATACTTGGACAAGCGATCAACCACCACAAAAATAACCGAGGACCCGCGAGAGGGCGGAAGGCCCGTGATAAAATCCATGCTAATATCTTCCCAAATCTGCACGGGTATAGGTAAAGGTTGGAGGAGCCCAGACGGGGGCTGCGTGGAGAATTTGGTGGTTTGGCAGGTCTGACAACTAGCCACAAAGCGGCGTACATCCGCCCGCATCTTCGGCCAATAAAAAGACTGCGCCAAACGTTGAAACGTACGGTGCACCCCCGTATGTCCCCCGGTGTGAGACGCATGGTACTCCTTCAATAATTCCAACCGGAGGTCTGATTCCCCACTGATGCAAAGCCGAGTGTTGTAGTATAAAACGCCGTTGATGACCGAGAACGGTGGCTGGAGAACCCCCCGCTGGTATTCCCCATGCATGCGCTGCAAATCTGGCCGTGTGGTGTTTTCGGCGTGGATCCTCTGTAAAATCGCCGGGAGGGGTTGTGACAGGTGGCAAAGCTGCCCGTCGTCCGAATGACCTTCCTGACGAGATAGGGCGTCAGCCACGCAATTGTGCCGGCCTGGTTTATATTCAATCCGAAAGCGAAACCCCAATAATTTGCGGACGTAGAAATGTTGGTCGGGGGTTTGGATCACCTGTTGTAGCAACTCGCGCTAGCTCCGTTGATCCGTACGGATCAAAAATTCTCGGCCCAAGAGGTATTGACGCCATTTGTGCACGGCCTCCACGATGGCGTATAATTCCTTGTGATAGGTGGACGCGGACTGTCGTCGTTGGCCCAGTTTCTTGCTAAAATAAGCAATGGGGTGTTCCTCCTGTAATAGGACGGCCCCAATCCCCGTTGCCGAAGCGTCTGTATCCACCACGAATAATTTTGAGAAATCGGGCAGCCGTAGAACCGGGGCAGAGGTCAGGATGTCTTTGAGGTGCTGGAAAGCCGTGGCAGCCGTATCTCCCCAGGCGAAAGCATCCTTTTTTAGCAAGTTTGTCAAAGGTGCTGCAAGTTCTGCATAATGTTGGATAAATCGCCGGTAATAGCCTGTTAAACCCAAGAAACCCCGTAGTTGCTTGATAGTGGAGGGAACTGGCCAATCGACCATGGCCGTGATTTTGCCTTTGTCAGCGTGTAGGTGGCCTGCCGAGATCACGTGGCCGAGGTACTCAATGGATGTGGTGCCGAACGTACATTTGGAGGACTTGACGAAAAAAAGTATTGGCCTGGAGCAAATTAAGGACAACCTCCAAGTGCATGGCGTGCTCCCGAAGAGACGGGCTATAGACCAAAATGTCATCGAAGAACACGATGACAAAACGGCGTAAATAGGCAGCAAATAACCTATTCATACACGCCTGAAAAGTTGAAGGAGCGTTGGTCAATCCAAACGGCATGACTCGAAATTCATAGTGACCCTCATGCGTGTGGAATGCTGTCTTGTATATATCCCGGTCGTGCATACGGATCTGATGGTAGCCGGAGCGGAGGTCTCGTGCGGCCCCTAATTCATCAAACAACTCATCTGCAGTAGGAATGGGGAAGTGGTCGGGTACCGTGACGGCGTTCAGGGCTCGGTAATCGACACAGAAACGGTAGGTTCCATCCTTTTTCTTGACTAAGAGAACCGGGGAAGAAAATGGACTTCGACTAGGCTGAATTAGCCCCTGATCCATCATCTCTCGGACGAGGCGCTCAATTTCCATTTTTTGGAAGTGGGGGTAGCGGTATGGCCTGACATTCACCGGGTGGGTCCCGAACTGGAGGAAAATTCTGTGATCAGCGAGGCGTCGAGGGGGCAGACCCGTAGGCTGAGCGAATACCCCAGGGTATTGGCGGAGAACCCGGAGAATCTCAGGCGGAAGATCTGCTGGCCATTCTTCTCCGGTCGTGCTAGCTTCTGCCGTACTAAGGGAGATCAGCAACTCGTAACATTCAGCCACTTGCCGGGCAGCACAAAGGCTGTTAAAATGATGGAATGACAGGGGTTTAGGCGACAGTGGGTCACCGCGGAGAGTTACCGGCTTTCCGTGCCAAGTGAAATCCATAACTAGATTCGCGTAATCGTGCGTCACCCGACCCAATAACTGCAACCATTGAACTCCGATTACCATATCCGGCCCATGGATGGGCAAAATATTGACATCGACGCAGAAGTGAAATCCTTGCAACAAAAGTGGAACCTGAAGACTTTGTCGGGAGCAAACTAATGACTCGCCGTTGCCCACGTACACGCGGAAGGGCGTGACATTCGCTACGGGTAACTGTGCCCGCTCAATAATGGATGGGTGGACAAAATTATGGGTACTTCCTCTGTCAATCAAGACGTCGACCACCACTGTATTAATCATGCCGGACAGCCGCAAGGACCGCGGGGTCACCAAGCTATGGAGGGACGAAACATCGACTGTGAGGACCATGTCGTCGGGGGGTGCACCAGGATCGTCGGCAATGTCATCCTCAAATAATAATAAAAAGCACCCGCAGCTGTGACCCTTCACCCATTTTTCATCACAATTGTAACAGAGACCCTTAGCATCCCGTTCCTTGCGTTCGGCATACGAGAGACGCCGGACAGGAAGGTCGGCCGTGGACTTGGTAGCTAGTGGCGGCTTAGTCCCTGATGACGGTAGTAGAGGCAAGTTGGAAGGGGGGTTTGGAGTTTTAGAGGCTGTCTGGTCACGAAAACCCTCCCGCCGCAGTGGCATAGCCGACGTCCAAGCCGTGTATTTTACTTCGAGTTCCCGAGCAAGAGCAAAAGAAGCGGACAAGGAACCTGGCTTGAGGAGCATAATTTCATGTTGTAAGTGAGATTTCAAACCTGCATGGAAGAGAGACTGAAGATTGGGTTCGGCAACCCCGGTGACGTTAACGAGTATTCTCTCGAAAGCCTGTTAGTACTCGAGAACGGAGCCGGTTTGGTGAACCTTCGAAAGCAGCCCAAAATAGTCCACATAACTCAAAGGGTCAAAGCGGAGCTTGAATTGGGACACAAAATCCGACCATGAGGACACAAGAACGTTCCGTTGACGCCAACGAAACCAATCCAAGGCTGGACCTTCGAGCATAAGGGAGACGGCCGGTAGGCGCGCGTCCTCTGCGACGCCGTAGAAGACGAAATACTCATGCGCCTTGAAAAGCCATCCGAGAGGATCCGAGCCGTCCGTCTTCGGCATCTCCAGCTTCAATTTGGACATAAGAGGGACCGGGTCAGGCCCACTGCCTCATCCCGTGCATGGCGTCGTGAAACCCATGGCTGGGGTTTTCTCTAGTCGGGTAAACAATTCGCCAAGGTTGTGCTGCAGTTGCTCCATGCCATGTTTTAGGGTTTGCATGGTGGTGGTATGAGCCAAAAGTTGACGATTTATTTGTTGTTGGAAATCTCGGAAATCGGCGGAGGTGATCACGTCGGAAGACATAATGAAAGCACCAATGATACGAACGGTATCAACGAGGGAACCTTCGAGTGCTCCCAAACTCCAATTTGAAGGAACTAAGAGGTAGAGAGAAGGGAAGAGAGAAGTTGGGGAAGAGAGGGGGAAGGCCGAACGGCTGAGGTAGGGGAATAATTAGGGTTTTATTTGCTTAATGATTATAGAGAGGTACACCTCTATTTATAGGTTTCAAAGAATCCCCTTCCTATTAAACTACGTTTTCTATCCTGACGGTTCAAGAAAAGCGACGAGATAAAGAACCGTAAAGAAACCCTCGAAGGAGCTTATAGATTGCTCACCTAGTAAAAAGCTACGGTACATTTAGAAATAAAAGAGGATAATTAAAATAATTAATGTCTAATGAATTCTTGCTGCCATCCGGGTGGTCGTCTAACCCGACCACTTCGCCGGACCTGCGTCTCTGCACGTTGCTCTGAATCCATAACATCCTACCCCCCCTAACCCTCCCCCTAAACCCCCCACCCAAGCCCCACCCTTGCCCCCACCCCAGCCCCCCCTCCCGCCCCCCTCCCTCCTACCTTGGCATTGCCAGTGGCAGTGCCAAGGTAGGAGGGAGGGGGCGGGAGGAGGGGCTGGGGTGGGGGGGGCAAAGGTGGGGCTTGGGTGGGGGGTTTAGGGGGAGGGTTAGGGGGGTAGGAACCATCGTTTTTACAAATAAAGCACCGTAAGTACCCCAAACAAACTGGTGTAAGCAACTGGTGTATAAGTAACTGGTGTCATTTTAGACGCTCTTGTATGTGAATTACCCATAAGAATTTACTACTTCATTTTTCTTATTCCAATAGGAAAAAGAAACAAGTATTAAGAATAAATTGAATAGAACATCACCTAAATAGGTAAATTGATAAATAAATAAGAAGTCTAATATATTATTTGACTTTGAAGTCAAATAAATTCAAGAAAATTTGAGCGCAGCAATTGACGGGGTGCGTTAAGGACGGGACGAGCTAGGGGTTTGCTGTAGGGATTAGGTGGGGTAGGAACAATCATTATACAATCGGAGCACTATACGTGCCCCAATTAAATTATTGTAACAATCTTAAATCAAATGTTTGGTATAAAATTACCCCCGCCACACACACACACAAACAGATATACATATATATTAGCAATCAAAATTGTATGAATGTTCAAATATTAATAATAAGGTAAGAATTCTATGTAATTCTTAATTTGGAGGGTAAAGGATTGTATAAAATAATTACCTCTATTATCTTCCGACTTGAATAATGATTTAATATTTGAACTTAAGCAATATAAGGATGTATCTCTATCTTATGCTCAAATACTGCACTGGACATTGATGTTTTTAAAGTTTTTTTTGAATTGTCATCATTATCTTTAGCCTGTCCCTTTTTTGCAACCTTGCATATTGGCTTGCGACATTTTTCTGTTTGCTTACTTCATTTCTATGAATATGCATGGGCACTATGTTTTAAGTATGTTTTCATGGAGGTTATATGTAAAGTTCATTTATGATGCTTAGTCACATTTAAATACAAATGTAATCTAAACTTTGTGTCATATATCTGAATTCGAATTCCTATTAAAAAAATTAAACAAATAGAAATTCACTTTGGTGCTTAATTTGATTTGATTTGTTGTCAAATCTAGAATAACGTCTCATATGGCCCCTAAATAGAACAATGTCATATTATGACATTAGTGGCTAATGTCAAAACAATATGTCTTCAATGTTCAAATCTTCGTGCTTATATATGGCAAAATTATGGTTCATTTCCTATTTTAAGTCCTTTTGGTTTGATTTGATTGCATCGTACGTCACTACCTTATGTTGTATTTATACATTTTGAAGGGGGTGCAATTGAAGGGGGTGGAGTGGTGTGTTCGGGTCGGGGCAGGGTGCGGGGGTTTACTGGGGGGTTAGGGGGGTAGGAACCGTCAATTTTACGAACGGGGCACCGGAGCACCCCCGGGTCATAATGTCATGGGAACCAAGGTGTTTGATGATTTATTAGATCTCTTTTGTCCATAAATAAACTTTAGATTTCGGTTTGTGATGTTTGATTAAAGTTATATTGTTGCTAGGTTCATACATGTCCCAATTTGATGAATATTCTCCTTTTGATATATGTTTAAGTGATGATCCCGAGTCTCTTGTGAACGTTTTAAATTCAATTTCAAGAGGATGTTCTGAAACTTATACGTTCAAAGATCATGACTACCCTGTTTTGGACCCGTATGTGCCAAGGAAGCCTTCTCCACATATAATCACGTTGAATTGTAGCATAGCGCAACTCCAAAATAAGGTGTTATATCTGAAAATAAGGACGGATAACTTTTATATGCTTGGCTTTTCGTGTAATGGAACTAACTATTACGAGTTTAGCCAACATAGTCACCTTGCAAATTCTACTTCGTTGCCGATGACAGGAAGTTACAGATCTCTAGGCTATGATATTTGTGAACTTATTGATTTCAGAATCAATTTTGAAATCGTTTGAGATTCAATATTGCATCTAGTTGCAGCTGCTGAATCGGGAGATCCGATGAGGCCCGACCAGATTGCTAACTCAAGAAGGTTTTAGATTACTTGACCCACAATTGGGTTTCTCCTCAACGGGAGAATATTGGATAGGATCGGGTCTTGATAATAAATAGTTGGAGCGAGATCTGTAGAGCTGTTTTCAAGTGGGATGCTGAAATGACCGGCTAGAATGAAATTATTAAATTGGTACGTTCATATACTGTGAACAACAAAACGTCTTTTGTTCGTAACAAAGTGAAGGTTTGTGAAGCGTGCAAGTGGATTAGGGTTTTGCTTCGAAAGAGGAATCCTGGAGTATAACTTCTACCTGGATTGAGCTGAATCGGCGAATTTGGTTTTTGAGGTTACTGTTCATGTCGGAGACTTTGATGCCATGCGCGCCTTTGTTCTTGCTCTATGCAAGGCTGATTTTTTGGGGATCTTGAGCATCCGGGGAGGCTTCTCTGGACTCTAATGTTGGATTGCAATTACAACTAAAGAATCCATAGATTGGGGCTAAATTGAAGCTCATCGTTAGTGTTCACAGTGCGACTGCGCTTCCTTTGTTCTTCCAGTTTTTTGCTCGATTCCTTTGAAATATTTTGTGACTTGGGTGTACCTTTTAAGGACTTTTTATTGTCGTGGTTGGATTTTTTTATTCAACAAACTTCTGATGGAGTCCTTGAATCCGGTTTTACTGTTTATGTTCTTCAATATGATGTTTGCCATTGCTGTAGCTTGCTGCTTGTGGTCTCTTGTGTTGCCGGCATGCTGGGAACTTGTTGTGGGTATGAATTTGGTGTAATGGAATTATGAACTTGGGTGTGAAAACATCACAACCTTCTTGGAGTATGAGGAGATGTTTGTTGGATGGGAAGGCCTTGTTGCTGCATCTCTGGCTGCCATTTTTCTGAACAGCAAACTTACCTGGAAAGGGCCATTGTTGAGTCTTGACTCCGATGTTTCAACACCGTAACAAGGGAAGGGTACATTGGCACCCCCCCTAGTGTTTGAATCTTGCTCGAACCAAACCTGTTTGCTCTTTAGAACCAACCTTTGTCACACAAAGGATGGGATGGCAATTTGATTCTTGCTGGCAGCCCTTCCCATTTGTCTGATTTACATGTTTGGATGCTCTTCCCTTTGGAGCTGGTTCTGTTCTGCTTTGGATTCTTGGGATGTTGCTGCTGTCCAGTGAAACTGGGATACCGGTGTTTGCTTTGGCCAATGTCGAACAACACTTCGTGCTGCTTCTTTGCCAATTTCTGTCAAGCCAATGGCAATCTGCCTTGTTGGCATAATGGAGGTTGGGGACATTGAGTTCCAGTTGAGGATGGCGGGTCTTGTTCCTGGGCAGATTGACATTACTGGTTTTGGGGAACTTCTTGGGCAGTCTGTCATTTCTCTAGAGATATCCTACGGCTCGAGTTGTCCTGCTTTTCTACCTGATCTGAACAAAACATGCTCCATTACACACTCCTATACTGTGGTTGTTTGGTAAAATTGGAGTATAACGTGCCTGCTGATCTGTGGTATATCAGGTGTTTGTTCATTTGTTCTTGATGTACTTGCTGCATCGCCTTCAGGTATATATGCAATATCTGCATTTCAATATCCTTGCGTTATCCCTCGGAATTTAGTCAGTACTTTCCCTTTCATTTATCCCCATATTCTGCATTAGCTAGCATGCATTCTTAGCAAAACTTCCCCGGCCCAAAAAAGAGCATTCCGAAGTATTTTTTCTTTTGTACAAAGAAAATAGTAAATTTTCAACCAACATGCTCATGTAATTGATCCAGCAAGTTATGTTGATGATTTTAATATTAGTTAAACCAAGAAAAAGAACTAAAAAAAGAGCATGGTAGAACAATCTATAATTGTACATAACCAAAAATTAAGGAGGTTTACATTGTCCAAACATGACAATGTTTTTTTCTTTTGGACGAGAGATTGTATTGTACTAGAAAAGTGATTGAATTCCATTTTTGATATACTTGTGAATCCATGATTTTGGGTGCTAATTTTTTTTATTGAACGCATCCTGTGGAATGGGCAGGAACAAGCTGATACACTAGCAAACAACAAAGTCGCAATGTCTATGGGTCTTGTCAACAAAACCTTACCTTACCTACAGAGAGTACCATTTGCAATTTGGCATTTACACCACTTCGCAACCATTCATAGGCCGTAAAAGACATACATACATGGAAGGGAAAGTTTGATACTTTTGTAAAGAGTCATGCTTCTATTTCTTCATTGTCATTCCTCTGACAATACACATTACTCGATCCGGAAGGGATGGATCAAACCGAACTCCCACAATGCATCATATTCCTCACCAATTCCGTCTTTGCATTTTTGTTCCATTGGCAAGATTTTAAGACAATGCATATGAGGTGTTCATTCATACTTTGAGGTAACACCATGTGAATTATAATTGGTATTAGAGTACCCCTTTTGATATGCTTTGGAAACTAATACGGAGTAACATTTCTTTTTAGTTTTTAAACAACTCCTATTGCCTTTTGCCTTGGTAAAAACCAAATACATTGTAACTATCAAAAGAACGGTTTGTTGTGTTTCCTATGCAATTACCTTGTATATACCTTGTAAACTATAGAAATGCATATTACCATGTTATTATCAAAAGAAAGGTTTGCACCAGTTTAATTGTATAATTTGCTTTATTTGTGCCATTTCTGTGCTCTCATGTGATGACAATTTTCTTCTTTTTTAGTCTCCCTGACTTTGGAAGCCGCTGCTAATGCGAGTTTGCCTGTTCAACAACGGGTGTGCTGTCAAAGGGACTCTTATTTTAAAAAAACAGGTAATTCCACATTTGTCATAATAAACAAATTTTAGGAGTTGATTCGCATTCATGCAACATAATCTGTTCTTAAGGGCTTACCACCATCCTTTTGCTGCTAGTTTGAACTGTTGAAGGCATTTATTACTGAGTGGCAATGTGGCATTAAAAGGAGAACTCTAAATTCTAAACCTGAACCCCCCCCACCCACTCCCCTCCAAGTCAACTATTTTAGCAACTTTTCCATTAATTCTTTCATCAATTCAACTCATCTCTCTCTCCCCATTAAATTTCTCTACACATTACATGTTGCACTCTTAAGTGAAACCATGCAAGTCATTTAGGAACACGAGGAGTATTAGCTATATCCAGGAGTGGTATTTAATTTGTTCTACTGCTTTGAGAAGAAGTTTGTTTTTCTACTATATCTGCTCTCTTTATTTTGTTCATTTTGATGTCCAGATTGGGCTAGGAAAAATTCTGGTTCGACCTTCATTGATAAAAGTGGAGAAAGATTCAAGATTTTTCGTTACATCCACTTTTAACTCATTGGAGATAGTTGCAATTAGGTATTCTTCACATCAAGATTACTTCCATGTGTCAACGTACTCTCATGTATTCATATATGTCAGTTATAAAGGATGATTGGAGATAGTTGCAATTAGGTATTCTTCACATCAAGATTACTTCCATGTGCCAACGTACTCTCATGTATGTCAGTTATAAAGGATGAGTAAAATATTTGGGCGAAATGCTACAACTTATGATACACAAATCTTCTTATCATTTTTTTTAGCATTAGACAACTGCAGTTCCCAGAGTATTAAAAGATTTGTTTTTATTTTATAGCTAAAAGTAAACTGATGTCATAAACTCAACATTTGCATATTTGATTGTATGAAGATGCATCTGTTTTAAAATTTACTTCATTGCTTCAGGAAATTCACAAGTTGACTAATTAACGGTTGAAGTACCCTTCTCCAGCCACAAACCAAGGAAGTCTCATTTGTCAAAATATTTGATTGCTTTGTTGAGCTATGGAGGAGTCCCTGAAGGGCATTATATGTCTATAATGAAAAGTGATTTGGAAGAGAGAAAAACCATATACACCAAGAGAAGAGCAGCACTGAAAGGTAACCGCTATGTCTCCGATAGTCTTCACAACGGTTGTGTGCTTTGTAAAGTTTATCTTGGGGCAAAAAAGAAAAGCATAAAGTTCACGGTGGGACGGAGGGAGAATTAAAGTATTATAATTGCTAGAACTCCAGATTTTTTAATTGAGGGAAAGAAAATGAATGTCATAAAATGGTTCTCAATCAAGATTAATATAGGAAAAAGGATTGATATTTGTTTTGTTGCCTTCTTTTCAAACAGCCGCTGTGAACTATGGAGAAATGGATGGTGAGTTCGCAACAGCTAAGATTATCTCTCTGGGGTGCCATTGATGAAGCTTATGTACATTCTTGTTTATCCAGCCTGGCAAACATGGGAAAACGCCAGATTAGAAGAGGAAAACATCCAAGAGCCAACAGTTATTACCAAATGGGAACAGCTGATCCTACTGGGATGTTAAACAGTGATGAAGTTTTGTATTATCATGTAAGTAACAGAAAATAAATATAGTACGGAGTATATGTTATATGCTTTTCAGTATCTTTAATTCACGGGTTTTGTTAATCGAAATATGTGCAGTGAGAATGGTCATGTTACTGGGAAGGTGTTGGTGTACAAAAGTCCCGGTCTTCACTTTGGGGATACACAATTATGTACAAGAACTGGACCATATTGTTGGTAACGCTAAATATGCAATCTTCTCAACAAAAGGGCTGAGATCAACTGCTAATGAAATGGCAAGTAGTGATTTTGACGGTGACATGTATTGGGTTTCAATGAATCCTCAGGTTGAGTGCAATTTCTCCCTGAAAATTCAGTTTTGTCGCATGTTTAAATAACTATATTTATTCATCCTTTTTGGAATTACAGCTCTTGAATTCCCATAAGGTAAGTGAAACGTGGAGTTGTGTCTATGCAATGCCAAAAGCAGTTGGTAGAAGGCCCTCTGAGTTTACACCTAATGAATGAGTTAGAGTATGAACATCTCGGAACAATATTCAAACAAAAGAAATCAGGGTATGTTTCATTGTTTCTCATAACTTGCATTTCCACGTATTTGCAGTGTCGACGTTCATAGAAAATTCAAGTATTTATTATTATTATTTTTAAGTTTTGACATTCTTCGAAAATGAACAATTTAGATTGTGACCTATTTTTCAAATTTCTTCACGCTTCTCTGCTCTTTCAGCAACAATATGGCACTGGCAGCAGATAAATGGCTAGCATGTATGGATCGGTTTTTGACATTGGGCAATAGTTTTACTCAGTTTCCTCCTCAGCTCCGTCCCTGTGGCTGCTGCTGCTGCTTTCTCCTTCAATTTGCTTTCTCCTTGTTGGCATTGAATTTCTCTTCTTCCAGTTTTTGTTTCCTTCTTGCAGTGGCTCTTTCTTCTGTTACGTTATTAGGTGGAAAGGGGTGGGTGTTTGACTAGTATTGATATAAGGAGAGCGCAGTTTAGGCCGGCAATGACTTGGCGCAAGCTGAAGTCAAGAGGCCGGTGCCACTTTGGGGCAGATAATGTTAAGTACTTATTGAAGCAGATGCTGGGCCTGTTTGGGAATAACTTTTGAGATTAGCGTTAGCGTTTTGGATAAAAATTTAACGGTACAGATTACTTTGAAAACGCTAACGCTAAACGCTGCCCGTAGATAGCCTTTTCAAAACGCTAACGCTAATCGCTAAAGCTATTCCCAAACAGGCCCGCTGTTGAATTTACTGGCATTTCCTGCTCCACATCACGTGAAGAGGTGTTAGAGCAATTCTTGGGAAGTGTGTCTTTGTTTGCAGAGCAGCAGGAGGAGGAGGCATTTTATCAGGTTCATTTGCTAGGGGGCGGGCGGAGCACCGAGGGAGAGTATGTGATGAATGGCAACTTTTTACCTGTATTTGAAAAATGATAGTACCATTAATTATATATTCCTATTCATTTTTTATTCGTATTTGATTCGGCATTAAATTTTAGTAATACTCGATTCCCTCCCGTTTGCTAGTATAAAATACTCTCTATGTCCTCAAAAGAAGTTCCTTGTTCGAATGACTATAAAATCCCATGTCTTAAAGTGTGTTTTGGATGTTCTTTTAAAATGAATTCCCAAAATAGTCCTTTCCAATAAAATATGTTTCAAAATTAGTCCTCAATAAACAATAGTTACTAATGTGCTCTTTTTAAATTGAAATGTATTCTCTAAATAATCCTTTGTAAAAAATGCATATTAAATGAGAGTTAAATAAAAGACATCTTGATATTTTTCATCATCTAAGCTATGAATAAATTCTTAAATTGATCCTTTCAAATTAAGTGGGTGTTTGCTAAAGTAACGGATCCACCCGAGTGGTCTCATAGACTCTATTTCAAGAAGGGAAAATTCCATGGTACGCCTAAGATCTACCATGGACTTACATACGAGTAGAATAAGTATTTCTTTACTATTTAAATAAACATTTATTTTTTTTAAATTAAAAAATAAAAAAAAAGTTATATGACAAGATCCACAAAAATGATATGCACGTAAGGTACACCAAAGAAGCACTCTTCAGTAAAACATTTATTTAGAAATTATTAATTTAAAAAAATACTTTATTAAAAGGGAGAATTTTGAGAACATACTTAGCTTTAAGTCTAGCGAATATAAAACACTAAAACACATGCTATTTGACTCACATTTAATAGATATAAAATACTTAGATTTAAGTCTAGCGAATATAAAATACTAAAAAACTAAAATACATTCTATTTGACTCACATTTAATATGATTGGTAAGATTAAGCACTTGCATAGTTGGAAAGCCAAATAACTTCCAACATAAAAAGATTATACGCTTGCAGAGTTCGAAAGCGAAAGAACTTCAGCAACATAAAAGGATTAAAAAGAACTTCAACAACATAAAAGGATTAAAAAGAACTTCAACAACATAAATGTGGCAATAAGTGACATACAAGGACAAAGAAGACCAATCATATTCGGAGTAATGCTATCAGCCACATGCAGTAGTCATATTAGGGGAAACACAATTTGAGCAAAGACACTTAAACATGACGATGTTTAATTTATTCATTCAGGAAATACAAAGATTAACTCGGGATTTGGCCGGGGCGAAGAGCGCAGCAGCCATTTGTTCATTGAGAACGAATGCCCATCATTTGTCTCTGGATAACCTCCATCGTGTCGTCATACAGTCGACCACCCACACCCCACTCATCGTCGTTATCATACGGGTCAAAAGCATCACAATGAAGGCCGGGTATATCATTGTAAGCGAGGGACACGGTGACTTTGCCACCAAATACATCATGAATGCTCTGGGCTTCCTTCTTAAACACTGCATCAAAGACTAGATCTTTTTGCACCACACACCATGTCCACTCATCATCATCGCCATGGCACAAATTCAAAGAGACGGAGATGGTTAACCCAGCCCTTTTGGATGCAACCACAACCGAACGATCGAGACGAAAAATACCATCGGGGCCCACATCGACACAGTTGTCCGAAGATTTGGTAAACATTAAGAATTCACTCCGTACCCCCGCGATTTCCCTCCGGGCTTTGATACATCCACACACGCGCATGTTTTGAAGCCCACCAACACAAACCTGAGCCCAAACGGCATCCTGCACTGAGGCATAAACAACACTCACAACTCCGCCATCACTTTCCACATCCACTTCGAAATAACCATCTTCCTCAACGTCGATAAGGCCTCTAGCAAAAACTCTCTCTCGGCCATCACCACGGTCCTCAAGGAGGTTGATCACAATGCTGCCCCAATAAATTGCATCAAGAGCAGAAAAATGAGGACCTTTGAGTTTTAAATCATCTCCGCTTTTTTTTGCATCGCTTTCGCATGGTTTGCGGCGAAATAACACCTGCTGGTTATGATCGTCAAAAGCAATCACATTTCCGTAGATTTTAGCACAAGTTCCGTGTTTGATATGCTTCACGGTTATGCACTCCACAGTCACAATGCTCTCCCAGTCCCATATGTTAAAATGAAGGATGTCTGAAAAATGAGCATCTGGGAGGAGGAGAGGGTGGTGATTCTTGGGACGCTTATCGCGGTGGCGACCTTCTTCGTCCGGAAAAGGTCTGATCAAAGCCAAAACATCATGGGGGGGCATCCAATGACCATTTTCCAAAACAAGTTGAGCAGTAGGGGTGTTCATCGGGTCAAACCCGGACCGGACCGGCCCGGACCGGGACCGGACCGGGACCGAATAAGGGGCATTTGGTGGACCGAGGACCGGACCGATTAAGCTAAGGACCGGCCCGGGACCGGACCGGGACCGGACCGAATAAATGTTACTTTTAATTTTTTTTTAAATTTTATTTTATTTTTTTAATTTAAAGTATTCAATTGAATAAAAATATTACTACAACTAATTTTTAATTGTAACATGCACTAAACATTATCAAACACAATCCGTATTGCATAAAATCTGTTCATAATTTTTATTTTGCATAGGGAATATACTTCTTCTTAGTACATTTTTGTTTTTTTGTAATATTTTTTTGAGTTTCGAATTATTTTGACCAACAGATACATTTTTTACTATTTTTGTTCATGAGATTGTTTACAATGTTTGTCCTGCGGATTAGAGTTTTATTATTGATAAAATACAAATTTAAGTTATAGTATTGGTATATAAATTTGAAATGCATTAGATCGCTAATTTAAAGATAATTTTTACTTTTTCACACTTTTCATATTAAAAATATTTAAAAATCATTACAATTGGTATCTTATTTTAAATTGAAATGTATTTAAAAAATTATATTAAATAATAAAATCAAAACATTTAAAAAAATTTAGCATTAAAGTTAAACTAATTTTAAGTATAAGAAAAAACATTAAAAAATATTTAAAAAAATAAAATCTAACCGGTCCACCGGTCCGGACCGAAACCCAGTGGACCGGACCGGACCGAATAAGGACCGGTCCGGACTGGTCCGGTCCGGTTTTGGCCGGGTTTCGGGTCGGTCCGGGTCCGGACCGAATAATGCACAGCCCTATTGAGCAGACTCCAGGTCATAAAATTGGATAAAGGCGAAGCGCTTATCATCTTCTCCTCCCACCACCTGGAGCGCAATCACCTAGAAGAAGATGCGGTTCCAAGTACTTCCAACAAATAAATGTATATGTGTGTGTGAACAATTCAATTTACTTGAATGGGCATATTAGTAAAAATCACAGCACGTGTGGATCATTTCAATTTATTTGAATGGGTGAATTAAAAATAGTGAAATTTACAAGGTTTAGAAAGACAGAGCGGCGGGAGCAATTACTAACTACATACATACCCGTTCAGGAACTTTTTCATCCAAGATCTGCATCAGGTACTTTTTGTCTACCGACGATTCAAGCCCACGAAGACTAAGAATCGGAAAACGTCTACGGGGCTTCCGACGAATAACCAGATCTTCTTGGGCTGTGGAGGGGGTGGCATGTTCCTCTGTAGCCATCGGATCTACGGCGTCTCCTTGTACCTCCATCGATCCATCTCCTCTCAATTGTTACCGCCGCTTTCTTTTCAAATAAGAGGGTCGCCGGCCGACAACAAACCCTGAATCGGTAAAAGATAGGGACCGAGAAAATAATCGGTGGCCAATGTTCTTGAATTGTTACAACCCCTTGCTCTCTAGAATTTTGTCGTGCTCCCCTGTTCAAATATTATCTTAACTTTTTGACTTTTTAATTAAAAAAAATAACAAATTTCCCCCCGCAAATTATATCGTACAACCGGCTGTACGAGATAACCGTACAGCCGGCGGAAATTAGCGATCAAGTGGAGCGCGATCGAGTCAAACCCTAGGTGCGTTTGATCGGAAAAAGAAGACAGTACAGAGCAGCGGGGAGCAGATCTGCAAAGGTGATGGTGAAAATGATGGTGGAGATAGTGATGGTGATGTGATAATGGGGAAAGTGATTGTACAGCAGAAGGGTTCATGGGGAAATGGCTGATGTAGAAATTTTTAGTCCGAAATAACTCAGCGTTTGGGTGAGGGAGAAAAAGAAGCGTTGGAGATTGATTTTAAACTAAGTGGAATGAATGAACGGTACTTTCGTTGAGAATGAACACTACTTTATTTGACAATGAGTATCACCTTGTTTCAGAATGAATACTATTTTATTTGTAGATGAATATTATAATTGTATGAAATGACGTCAGTTACTTATACACCAGTTGCTTACACCAGTATACTGCCTGGGTAGGGAGGGGGGCGAGAGGGGGGCTGGGGTGGGGGGCAATGGTGGGGCTGAGGTGGTGGAATTTAGGGGGAGGGTTAAGCGGGGTAGGAACCGTCATTTTTACAAACGGGGCACCGTAGGTACCCCAAACAAACCGGTGTAAGCAAATGACACCAATAGCACTGGTGTCATTTTAGACTTACTATATATATATATATATATATATATATATATATATATATATATATATATATATATATATGGCTCTACCAAACCAATGTTATGCAGAGGAACTCAACAACATGGAGGATCAGAACCACCTCTACTGGGGGAATGGTCAAAACGGCTTTAACTTACCACTGGCAAAAGAGACTCTAAGTGAGAAAAATCTGCCTGATAATTTCCTCAAATTTGTCTGGAACAAATCACAAGTTCCTAAAGTTTCTATCTTTCTCTGGAGACTCTACAAAGATACTCTTCCATTTCCTAAACAACTAACCAAATTCTGTTACTCCCTGCCATCGATTTGTCTTTTTTGCAGGAACAATGAAGACACAAGCAATCACATATTTAAAGAATGCAACTACAGCAAAGCTATTTGGAATAAGTTTGAAACATCTTTCAGAATCACACGAACAACAACTCATGGCATAAGGGCTTACCTAATGTCATGGTGGACACAAACGAAGAACTCTGATCCAAACAGCACAGCCAAGCTAGTGATTCCAGGCATAATTAGCTTCGAAATCTGGAAAGAGATGAATAGAAGACAACATGACGAGGACCCCAAATCTGCTTTCCAAATAATGCATTTAATTTGGAAAAACCTTATCGAATGGGCGTCTGTGAAAAGCAAGCATAAACTCTATTTCAACAAAGATGACCTACCAATGCTCAAAACACCATCAATTTAGATTCTTAACTGGAGAGGCGAAGAAAACGGAGTCATCCTCCCCACCGACGTAGCCATCAGAGAAGGGAGACAAGTTGGAGGAGCAATTCTGGGCTCAAGAACGGGGGACTTCATTGCAGCAATTACAGCGGAAGTAAGAGGCAACAATCCACTAGAAGGGGAACTAGCAGCGGCGAACCTTGGTTTGCAATGGGCGGCAGGACTTCAAACGGAACCCATCCACCTGAGAGTTAACTCTCAGAATTCAATTAAAGAAGTCAATGACTCTACTCACACATCAGCAACAATTTCCCTGATTCGGACTACACTAGCAAAAAACAAGGGAACAATTAGGCACATTTTCAAAGAAGAAAACTCGGCAGCTCACAATCTGGCAAGACACGCAATTCAGAACAACTTTTATACAGTCTACAATAATTTTAATTCTCTCACCAAGGCTGTTAAGGGAGCAATCATGTAACACCCCAACCCGCGTGACCTGAATACGAGGACCAGCGGATCGGGTTGCTACTAGATTGGCATTCAGACACAATAATTTTCAGAACATTTAAAACATTTAATTCAAAAACAATATATATAAATCCATCGGAGTAAATCAAAACGGTGCGGAAGCCTTTAATAGTTAAATCAAAATACATCTTTGGGTTCTTGCCCTTAAAATCATAATTAATTCAAACTTAAATATTAAATAATAAACTCCTCCAGCTAGCATCCATCCACCTCTCCGCCCTCGCTGCCCTCCAGGATAGTTCCTTATTCATCATTCATGTTACCTACGTGTAACAAATAGGAAAAAGAGCTACACGCTCAGCATTGAAGCTGAGTGGAATCTATCTAACGTTCGACTACGCACATAAACGAACCCACTAGCTCATAATTCCATACAATATCATGCACACAAGTTTAACAGTATAATATCACATAACAATCATTAAATAAATTCACCAGTCACAAATCATTACCTTATTTCCTCTTTATTCATTGCTCATAACATAATTACCAGACTAAGTCCATACCTCCTTATTTACAACCTTATGTTCAGGTTTAGAGTCACTACCTACGGCCATGACTCAAGTCTACCTTATTTAATACCTTATGACACAACACAACCTGATGACCAACGAAGGAGTTCTCCGTTGGGTGGGTGGTACCCCGGTCCCCTTCGGAACGACATTTCTTGGATCCCGTACGTATGTTTTAACCCGCAGCCGCCAGATATCAGATCTGCAGGGCTGATCCTATGTATTGACATTTATGCTTATAATCTTACTAAGGCAGTCCTAGAGTTCCCCTAGGTAGCATAATCATTTATTTACAACATCTCTATAATTCAAGCTTATTCCAACAACAATCTCACTTCCTTATTTACTTCCATAACCCAACAGGATTATATTTAATCATAACGATAAATATATCATTAATCAGACAATAAATCATACAACTCAATTAGCGGCCTAGTGTCAGGTGTAACACCTTCTACTTACCGTCATGCAAATCACACAAATTCGAAGTAAGAAAACGTACCTGGTCATCCTTGTTCAATCAACTCCAACAATAACATATAATATAATTAAATCATAATTCAATTGTAACAAATAAACCACGTAATCAATCATACGAAACTACGAACGTGAATTTCAAATCTATATACATAATCTAGCGTTAGATGTGCAAGTTCTGACCTCGATAATTAGACGAATTAAACAAAACAAGAATCAATTGGTCGGGCTGTTTCCGGAGATCCCAATGGCAGCGGCGACACAGGACGACGGTGGCGGTGTCGAGCTCCTTCCCTCCGACTCTGGTCTGCGGTTGCTCTCTCCTTCTCTTTTACCGTCGCACAAAGTATTCTGTAGGTTTGTTTCTCTCTTTTTCCATCTTTTTGTGTTGTGTGCGTGTGTTATATAAGGGAGGGAATGGTTTTGGTGTACGGGTAGTATTAGGAAATATAATTTAATATTTTATTATAAAAAATTTTATATTTACTTATTGAACTATAATGTCTATTTTAGTCATCACGCTTTACACGCAAGTCCGAATTTAACAAACTATATACCGTTGGTCACCATTTTACGAGATTTACCCGAAAACCCAATTTTCATTTAAAACGAATAACTTTACCAATAATTCATATTTTAGAGTAAATAAATATTATGTTTATTTTTATTAAAAATAACGGCTAACTACTAAGCCGGTTTTCGGGTCGTTACAAATCATTTGCGACACTTCTTGTACCAACTTTCGTATTCATTAATCAGTAATAAATACTTTTCTCATATATATATATATATATATATATATATATATATATATATATAGGGGCCGGTTCCTGTGAGAATGCACCTTGTGGAGAGAAATGAGAATAAAATCTAGCCGTCGGATCTGATGCATCGTGCGGCTCAGATTGCATCCTGCGCTCAGATTTTGAGATAGTGCATTTTCGAAGGTTTATGGTGCATTTCAACGTGATGCATTTTTGCACCATTTTGGTGCATCTAATTTTGATGAAATATTGACCTTTAGATCTCACAATCTAAAGCACCAGATTCATTCTCATTTCTCTCCTAAGATTGCATTCTCACCAGAACCAAAATCTATATATATATATATATATATATATATATATATATATATATATATATATATATATATATATATATATATATATATATATATATATATATATATGTATATATGTATGTATGTATGTATATATATAATACTCAGCTCGTGGGTTTCATCAAACAAGGGAAGTATTAAAAAAAACCTGAGATTTCTCCTGCCTGGTTTTATCTACTGGTCCATCTGGAAGCACTACAACTCATTCTTATATGAAAATCACAGAACGTCCAGAAATGCTTTGATGACATCCATAAACAAATTCTCTCAAGCTTGGTTTTGGGCAAACAAACTAGATACTACTTTCCTCTACAAATCTCATCGAGGAATTGAAGATCTGAAGATGTTGTGACATGATTAAAGGGAAAAACTGTTTCATCAAAAACGACATGACGGGAAGTGATGATTTTCTTTGTGGTTAAGTTGAGACATCGAAAATCGCGCTGATTAGATGGGTAGCTAGAGAAAATACAATGGGCCGATCGAGGGGAAAGTTTATGAGGGGCGGTGGCTGAGGTGTTAGGATAGCAAAGGCATCCAAAAACACGTAGATGAGAGTAGGAGGGTGGGGTTTGAAAAAACACTTCGTGGGGGGTACGTTTTTGAAGAGTGGTGGTGGGTAGGAGGTTAAATAGATGGCAGGCCATATGAAGGGCTTCAACCCAATATTCAGGGGGTAACTGGGCCTGGAAGAGGAGCTTCCGAATGGTGTTGTTGATGGTTCTGATAGTTCGCTCAGCACGTCCGTTTTGTTGACTCGTGTGGGGACAGGAGAAACGGAAGAGTATGCCTAGATCATTACAAATATTTTGGAGAGGAGTGTTGCGATATTTTGTTCTGTTGTCACATTGTACAGCCTTAATGGTGGTGTTAAAATGATTTTTCACATAGGCTAAAAAAGATTTTAGTTGGGAAAAAGCATCAGATTTGTGACGTAGAGGAAAAACCCATAAATAGTGTGAGAAATCATCTAACAGAAGCATGTAAAATTTAAAGCCACTAATACTAGGAACATGGGATTTCCATAGTAGGGATGTTCATCGGGTCAAACTCGGACCGAATCGGGCCGGACCGGGACCGAATAAGAGACATTTTGTGGACCGAGGACCGGACTGATTAAGGTAAGGACCGGCCCGGGACCAGACTGGTAAAACCCGGATCGGACCGGGACCGGACAGAATAAATGTGATTTTTTATTTTTTTTTAAAATTGATTTTATTTATTTAATTTAAAGTATTCAATTGCATAAAAATATTACTACAATTAATTTTTAATGTGTAACATACACTAAATATTGTCAAACAATGTTGTTTTTAATTTTTTTAAAAAACTTTAAATATAATATATATCCTCCATCCGTAATACATAAAATTTGTTTGTAAATTTTATTTTAGATGAGGAATATTCTTCTTCTTACAGCATTGTTTCTATTTTGTAATATATTTTTTGTGTTTTCAGTTTATTTTGGCAAACAGATACATTTTTTACTACTTTTGTTCATGAGATTGTTAACAATATTTATTTTTGTTGATAACGTTTCATTATTGATAAAGTATAAACTTAAGTTATAGTATTGGTACATAAACTTGAAATGCATTAGATCGCTAATATAAAAGTAATGTTTACTTTTTCACACTTTTCATATTAAAAGTATTTAAATATCATTAGAATTGGCATCTTATTTTGAATTAGAATATATTAAAAAGTTATATTAAATAATAACATCAAAACATTTGAAAAACTTTTCGTATTAAAGTTAAATTAATTTTAAGTATATGAAAAAACCCTAAAAAACTATATTATAAAACTATTAAAAAACAAATATTAAAAAAATAAATTAATGAATATTATGTTATTCGTAAATGAATATTGAACAAATTTGTGAAAGTAAGAACGACGTTATTTCTGAATGATTACTGCGTTACTTCAGAATGAGTACCACGTTTTTCAAATGAACCATTATGCTTGTGCGAGAATGAATACAACTTTACTTCAGAATGAGTACTACATGAATGTATCTATCTCTAGGTACATCCGGATGTAACATATACCAACTCACTCAGTCGTAAATTTGACGGTTTCTACCTCAATAACCCCCAGTGGACCCCCCCCCCCCACCCCATTCGACCCAAAAATACATCACCACCCCTTCAATTGCACCCACCAAGTTATTTTTGACTTTGTAGTCAAAATTAACTTGGGGGTGCAATTGAAAGGGGTGTTCGGGTCTGGATGGGATGGAGGGTTTACCGGTAGGGTTAGAGAGAGTAGGAATCATCAATTTTACAAACGAGACACTGTAGTGCTCCCGGGTCATCCCATGACATTGCAGACAATGTCACATGAATTGTTTAATATCTACATCTAAAATAAATAAACATAAAAAGAAACAAGTGAGACGACCTAAACAATAGCAAGAAAGATATTGAATTGAAATTAAAAATAAGTTGAAAAGATCACAAGTTAAATACTTCTTTCGTCCTTAAAAATGTCCTCAAAAATGTCAGATATCGAAAGAATAAAAATTGTAGGAAGTATTTAAAGATAGATTGTGTAGAAAAATGTCAATAGTCTCACTTCGTAAATTTTTTTAATTCTTCCCTCGACTCAGTAACATTTTTTACTTTTACGGGGTTTAAAATATACGGAGTAAAATTTTATGGTTAAAATTTGTTTAAAGTGGAGTGAAGGACGGGAATGACTCATTTATTTCTTTAAAACAGAAAGTTTTTTTAGACGAACAAAGAAAATTTGAAAAAACAATTATCCTAAAAAAAAAATTGAAGTGAAAACATTAAAGAAAAATACATTGTTTAAATATGTCATTATCTATTAGTCATTATTCAACTAAATGTCCAGCATCACTTGAATATTATTTTTCTCACTAGTCATTATTAAGTCCTTAAAAAAAGTTTAAATGATTGGAAAATGATTTACACTATGTTGTATGGCCACCAATTATTTTCCCCGTCCATATCTTTTACCGATTCAGGGTTTGTTCTGGGCCGGCGACCCTCTTATTTGAAAAGAAAGCGGCAGTAAGAATTGAGAAGAGATCGATCGATGGAGGTACAAGGAGCCGCCGTAGATCCGATGGCTACAGAGGGACATGCCACCCCTGTTTTAGGTGATTGCGCTCCAGGTGGTGGGAGGAGAAGATGATAAGTGCTTCGCCTTTATCCAATTTTATGACCTGGAGTCTGCTCAACTTGTTTTGGAAAATGGTCATTGGATGCCCCCTCATGATGCTTTTGCTTTGTTCAGACCTTGTCCGGACGAAGAAGGCCGCCACCGTGACAAGCGTCCCAAGAATCACCGCCACCACCACCACCAACTTCTCCTCCTCCCAGATGTTCATATTTCAGACACCCTTCGTTTGAACAGGTGGGAGAGCATTGTGACTGTGGAGAGCATAACCGTGAAGCACATCAAACACGGCGGCACTTGTGCTAAAATCTACGGGAATGTGATTGCTTCTGACGACGATAACCAGCAGGTGTTGTTTCGCCTCAAACCATGCGAAAGCGATGCGAAAACAATCGGAGATGATTTAAAACTCAAAGGCCCTCATTTTTCTGCTCTTGATCCAAGCCCTTGGGGCAGCATTGGGATCAATTACCTCGTTGAGGACCGTGGCGATGGCTAAGAGAGAGTTTTTGCTAGAGGCCTTATCGACGTTGAGGAAGGCGGTTATTCCGAGGTGGACGTGGAAGGTGATGGCGGAGCTGTGAGTGTTGCTTATGCCTCAGTGCAGGATGCCGTTTGGGCTCGGGTGTGTGTTGCTGGGCTTTCAAAACATGCGCGCGTGTGGATGCATCAAAGCCCGGAGGGAAATCGAGGGGGTACAGAGTGAGTTCTTAATGTTTACCATGTCTTCGGACAACTGCGTCGATGTGGGCCCCGATGGTGTTTTTCGTCTGGATCGTTCGGTTGTGGTTGCATCCAAGAGGCCTGGCCGGGTTAACCATCTCCGTCTCTTTGAATTTGTGCCATGGCGATGATGATGAGCGGACATGGTGTGTGGTGCAAAAAGATCTAGCCTTTGATGCAGTGTTTAACAAGGAAGCCCAGAGCATTCACGATGTATTTGGTGGCAAAGTCACCGTGTCCCTCGCTTACAATGATACACCCGACCTTCATTGCACTGATTTTGACCCGTATGATAACGAGGATGAGTGGGGTGTGGGTGGTCGAAACACATGTCCTTGCTCAAATTGTGTTCCCGCTAGAATCTTATAAAAGCTGGTGAAGACATAGGTTTAGAAGACGAATTTAAAGATATAGAGATGTGAATTCTAAGCATTCTATGTAAAAGTGAGTTTTTGACATTCTTCTTGACCATTCATGGTCGTCTTAAAGTATACATACATCTTGGAGTCCTAGCAAATAAGAACCTGGAGTTCTCCCAAATACTACTTCTGGCCCAAAATGATATTTCATATTCGAACTGCGAAGTGTAAAGAAACAAACTTATTGAGAAATTACATTGTAATAGCAAAAGTGTAAATTATTTTGGGACAAAAGTAATATATATTTTACATTTTACTCCCTTCGACCTAGTGTATTTGTCCATTAATGTTTTCGAGTTAAATTGAATGAACTTTGATCGTCAATTACTCTTAATTTATGTTATATTTTAGTGCAATAAACTCAAATTGGGACGGAAATATGGCCTGTTTGGAAATAGCGTTAGCATTTTGAATACAATTTTAACGCTGCAAATTACTTTGAAAACGCTAACGCTACCCATAGATAGTCTTTTCAAAACGCTAACGCTACCCATAGATAGTCCTAGCATATGGAGTACTCAGTATATGAAAACCTATCATATCTATCATACAAAAATATCACATGCATTGAACAGTCAAAACAAAAAACTTATATACGGAGTACAACTTATTTATAGTAAGTCCATACATTATTATAACATTATACACCGTAATTAATAAAATTATATTTTAAAATAGAAATAGAATTTTATAAACATGATTTAAAAAATTAGATTGTACAAAACAGAGTATAAGAGCTCATGCAAAACAAGAAGTTAAAACTGCCGGAGTATTCCATACTAAATACTCCGGTGTAAATACAGACAAACATTGAAGAGGAAAAAGGTAAGATAATCATATTTTCTTATTACTTGAGAATGTTGCATATGAACACCACCAAGCAACTGGTTCGTTCAATCACACCTCAACTCTAATTACAAAAGGCAAAAAGCCAAAGCTAATCCACATACAAGTATGGCTAATCAAACGAAGTAAAAACGTAGTCAGTAATCCGGAATAGAAGCAAACCGATAACCTTGAGCGCCCCTCCATGAATAGTACGCAATTCGTGTTTCATAAAAGCCTGCAGGGAGTCAATGGTGTCATAAACTAAAACCAGATCAAAGAAGAAGCATGTACAGAATAGGCAATTCTACTATTTGCAATCCATCAATTTCACCCTTGAACTGAACTAGATGTAATATGAAGCTTCATACTCCTGAAAGATACTATCAATTAGCCTAAGAAAATTCTATTCTATCGCCACGGTTGACACCACAAGTGACTGTCTGGGTTTTTTTGTCCTAACAAAGAGTGCCATGAGAAGACAAAACTCGCATTGCCACTGTCGTTGAACACAGACAATATACCATGAGAGGACAATACTCACAAACGGTGTGGGGGCAATGTAGCATTACTCATTAGCCTATATGACCTGCCACTGCACCATATATTCCGGCATGTCTCTCTTCTCCAGCGCCGAAGGCCAACCATAGAAGTTGCTGACTGTCCATGATAGTAGCAAATTCATGGGACACAGCATCTTGTGAAGGTCTTTGGATGTGCAGAGAGTGACACCTACGAAGTTCATTCTCTTAACTCCTCCAAAAGAATGCCAAATTTTATATCCTTTTACATCAGTGACCTACTCAAATCATTGTTAATTTGTTTATAAATTTGATAAATCAGTGTGGATTTGCATGATATACAATCATTGAATGGGTGCAGGGAAGACGACGAGAAGGGTGTGAAGTTAAAGGATGCACATAGTCAAATTTTTCACCCTGATCATCACCAGCTTAAGAATGATTAATGAAAGAGGTTTTGTCGGATTAATGTCTTCAATGAATGGAAGAACAAGCTTAAGAGAGAGAGAGAAAAAAGAATAGGATAAACCGCTCAAGAAGCAACAACATTACCCCAGTGCCTCAATGGCTCCCGCCCATTGCGGGGTAAAGGGGTCGGATGTACGCAGTCTGACCCCTATGTTTAAAACATAGAACGGCTGTTTCCAGATGAGCATCGAAAGTTGCATTGACTAACAGCTACTTTACAAGCGCATACTGTTTAAAGAGCCAATTTGCTTTATTCCATCATACCCCAAAGCAAAAAATAGTGAATCTTACACCAAGCAAACAAAGTAAGAAAAGGAAAAGAAAACAAATTCTTACACCAAGACTACCAAAACTTGAATTTGCTCGTGAATGGCAGTGATGTAGATAATTTTTGAAGGTTTGGATAAAGCAAACTACCCTTTGAAAGCAAGCCACATGCAGGCAATATGGGCTAAATGGGTATTTGATGCCTCTTTACCAGTTATAAGCTTTAGGTGACGCAAATTTCAGTTCAAGGGTGAAATTAATGGATTGCAAACAGTAGGTTGGCTTATTCTTATTATTATCCCTTATTATAATACTCCGTAACTATTATGTTACTCCTCCCTCCTTCCCACTATTTTTGTACCATATTTAGTAAGATATGTGCGGATCACATTCATTCTTACTTTTTAACATTAATATCTCCCACATTTCTAAATTTACGTACCCGTGTGCCATTACCCATTCCCGAAAATAGTGGGACGGATGAAGTACTATTTATGCTTACCTAGCTAACCTACTAAAATAGATATACAGGAATAAATCAAACATGTTTGGAAGCCTAAATATCAAGAACATAGTCTCCACTAGTGAAGAAAAGAACAAAACGTCCCAACCATAATCAAACTTGGAGGAACCAGACAATCAACGGATATAAACCATATACTCCCCGGTTCTGAAAAACTTGTAAGCTTCTTCTATGTTTTCCCCAAATCAGTTCTCATTTTCCCTCGAGAGAAAGATTTATTGCCTTTTCCAATGATAGCCCATATACTTTATTGCTATGGTGAATCGTATCACATTTTTACTCTCGAAAAGTATTTAACAAAGCATAGATCAATACACTATATTATGTCATGTAAGTCTTTAAAGCTTTAAAATTCAATTATTTCAAGGCATCTGTTATATGTTTGAAACAAAAAAGAGACAATTATTTAAAAACAGAGATAGTAGAGTCAATAGATAGTTAAGCAAAGTTTCTTAAGATCACGGTTATAATCTTCAAACTTAAAACTGAGAAGCCATGTTTATAAGCAATTGCTATTGAATCCATGCATTCATGCAAAAACACCTTTGAATTAGCAAGTCTCTCGCTTGAGACAGCATAAAGCACAAAAAATATCAATAAATAAAGGTAAACATTAGTTTCTCGTAGGACCTTTACCTGGGAGAAAGGTTAAAAACCCGAGTCCTAAAAGGCCATATGCTTGGGAATGGTCTCCTGCCATATGACCAGTGAGAATGAAGATTGACAGCAGGAGAAGAAGACATCCAAGTAAAAGAAGAAAAACTGCAAGGGCAAGAGACTTCCATGGTACTCGATCTAGAGACTTTGGTGAGTAGTCAAATCGGCAGTCAGGTTGTCTTGAACCACTGCCATAATATTCATCATCTTCATCCGTGGCAAGCCGGCTATAACGAATATTACGCTTAGCAGCCATCGCCTGAACTCCTTGATACAAGCAAATGTCTGCAAGCTCAATGAAAAAATGATCTAGATCTAATAAAATAAAAGACTATGTGGCAGAGAACAAGATAATGAGACTGAGAAGACAACACCATTAAGAATGTATTGTACTGTTCTCTTTAAATATAAAAAACACAATCTTTCAAAAGACTGAAATTTAAAATATAAAAAACACAACCTTTCAAAAGAAAGAAAATTAAACATGTTGTAGTGACACTAAACCATTTATTGTGGTCAATATTTTACAATAACAAAAAACACACCAAAGTGATGGAGCACTATTCTGTTTCGTAGCACATAGTAAATAGTGAAGTTTTCCAACAAAAGTTTTTTTCGCACAAAGCTTCTAGCACAGGCCTCTGTTCTTTAGTAGCTTCACCCACGGAGGGTGAGTTTTATCATCCGTAGGACATCTCCTCACTCCAATTCTCTAATTATGGAGAGCACTGAGCACCTTGATTTCAAAATTTGAAGCAAATGAAATACCAACACAATGATTCCCCCATGATAACTACTCCACCAATGTTTAAGAGGTAAGAACAGGTCAAAATTGAGGTGTAAACACTCCCAAATCCCCATCCGCACTGTCTCTCTCCGACTCTCTCCCCCACCCTTAGTTACTTAGAAAATATGAAGACAGCCACAGCACAGCCCTTGTATGTCTACTCTCATTCTTATCTCTTACATCTGCCAAAATTAATCTAAATAGGCACTAGCATTTTATTTTAAAATATTCTGAAAAAATTAAATACTTTCATATATTTTATAGATCCAAAATTGTTGAATTTCAAAAAATTGCATGAAGTTTAAATGAAATTTGAAACATGATAATATTTGAAAAAACACAAAATAAAAGATGGATTAAAAATATGTAACTCAAAATTCACTACTTATTAGCTTATGCACTCCAA